TACGAATTTATCTGCTTCAATTGAATTATCTCTTTGATGGTGCAAAAGATGTCATGAACACTTGATGGTAAAATTCGTATCCACGCGCGGCTATCTGATATCTCATAAATGCGTGTGTATTACTGAACAATTGTGAGCTTAAGAAGGCTGTACATCGACCAATTTCCGTCGATACATTTTAAGGACTGAGACGAAGTCTTCGTTAGCAAAGGATGAAAGGATATATCACATGCTAACAAAACATTTTCATGCACCATGGAATTACCGTATAAATCTGCTAGGTTTGTTGTGATTTTTGTTTGTTTGTTTTGTTTTCATTTAGGACGAATCTGTGACCTCTATTTTAGACAAAAATACTGGAAAAGCTTTTATTCATATGACAGAAATATACTGTTTGGTTACGATGTCATACGAGGTATTCAAGAGGCTACAAGCATTTCTTTTTTTTCCTTTTGTGGGGTATCAAAGTGGGAATCGAAAGAAAACACATTGCACTGTTGGGTGGTCGATCAGAGCACAGGTTTCCTCCTCGCTTGCTGGTCCCACCTAAACATATAAATAGCAGAGAAATTGGGAAAACGTGTCAACAAAAGTGAAAAATTCGACACCAGAATCACGATGACTACGATTTCTTGATTACGTATATAAACGAAACCTCGTCAACGACACGATTAGTTATTCTGTTTTTTTAAACGCTTTGGAACATCAATCCAACTCCTTGCGAAACTTGCCTCGGGAATCGTCGACGGTGAATAAATTTTTTTGTATTCAAATGTTCGAACTACGTATCTATAAGGTGGTTAGTAGTATCATTTCTCACTGGTTATCTGTCAGAGTTCGGTTTTAGTAGATAAACCTTTTCGCGTGATGACTGACTAAATAGGCACAATGTTTGCGTGTTTACATCGTGCGCTGGAAGCTAAAACTGTGGGCTCAATAAATGCTGATATTGGAGCAGAATCCTGTTCTGTAGGGCAAGACCACCTCAGCAGCTTCAGGGAAATGTTTTTAATTTCCCATTCACTATAATATTGCAAAAGATTCTTTTTTTGATCAGCAATTCGTTCACAAATAATTTTCAGTTTCATTTTGCTTTCAGTCTACTTCCTCCGCCAAATGCTCATGGCCTTAGCAGTGAATCCATTCGATGGACTACAAGATTAGGCTATGCAGAAGTCTCTGTGTTGCGCATGGCTTGCAATTTGTTCTAGATGAAGTTTCTTGATAACAAGAGTTTTGATGAATAGGACACTTTCCGATGCCATCTTCTCCAGTCCCTCAAAATGACCTCGTATTCAGCGCCTTTTTTGAATTCGAAATGAAAAATCGGATCCTTTCCCAACATAATTTGGAGAGGGACCAGCTCTTGCAGTTATTCTAAATTTCCTGGTTCCTTCAGAAAAAAATTAATTAGGGAGTTTATGTACTAGAACTTATAATTCTGTTAAAAAAAGACTTTGTCCAGCAATTTTTCGATAGCCTCAAGAAAATTTTCAACATGCACTTTGTAGAGGGACAGGGTCGGTAAACAAGTTTCTTTACTCAATAGGCTCGCGGGCTGTTGGTAGAATTCGTGATGGTCACGCAAATCCTTAAAGGTGTTCCGGTTTCGAATAAGTTTCGCGAATTCTCCCAGCCTCACACACGATAAAATGAAGGAATGAGAGAAAGAGTCTTTTATTGCATTATTTTTGATCGATGCTTATCCATGGCTACCAGGTACAATGGGTTGTTTATTGGAACTCGCGCATTTTGTTCAGGGACAGCCTTGAACGACGTTTCAGCGTATGAGACTACGAAAACAAACAAACAAGCAATTGAAAAAAACAAATTTGACACAACCTGCTGTCACGCAATCACAATAGCGTGACGTAGGAAACTTTGAGATTCTCATTCTTTCTCTATGATTAAGTATACAACGTTTTCTTTAGGTTACTTTCATCTGAGTCTCCTCTTTTTTATTTTTAACAATGTAGCGCAGTACAATCGATTCAATTGTATTTCTAGCTATGGCAGAAAGTAACCTCCCAACAACGGAAGAAGAACTGGAGGTGAAAAATGAGTTTCCAGCTACAGGTGAGAAAAAGCAACAGGGAAAGACTTCGTCATGGTGATTTTGTACTGTTTGTTAATTAAGTATACTTTAATTCTGGTGCTCAATTTTTTGGACCACCTCGACTTGAATGTTTTAAGGAATCCACTAAATACGCCAGTATTAGAAGGCTAGTTGTAATTGCACATGGTTGTGATCACTAACAAAGTTGAAATATCTTCTCGGTAATTTCAGCAACAGAGGAAAGTCAAGTTACGTCAAGTGATGCTGAACTGGATGTATACAATGACCCTTTAAGTGGTAAGAACACCGGCTGAAACAAGATTTTTTTGAAAGACGCCCCAGTGAAGTTTTTGTCACATTTAGATCAAAATTTGCGTAGGTTCTGTGAATAAGTTTTTGAAACAGTAAAATATTGTTGTTTTTTTTTAATTTCAAACTTTGTTACCAGAAAAATTAAAAAGAGCAGGATGCGTAGACATCATCAACTTCTCATAAGCAATAAAGCGGCAAATTTGAACGCGACTACACTTTTGAAGAGCCCTAAATTAAAGAAGAATGAGCCAAAATTGGCCTACTAGGCTTGGTAAAACTCGGTTTTCTGAGTTTTAGAAGTGCTTACCTGTAAATCAACGCGCAATGTTTTGGAGATAAAAGATGTATCTACAATTTGCACCTAAAATGAACGATATTTGTGAAGTAAAAAGTATTTTTCTTTTGCACTTGAAAATATTGTAAATTTGGTCATTTTTAGTACGAAAGTCATTTTCGATAAGAGAGAGCTGTTGGTACCCGTAGACCTGGTAAAGTCCAGTATTGAAAAATTTGCAAACGGGTAACCTTTTTTAGGCCGCCAAAAGGAAAGTACTTACGCGAACATCTTTTTTGTCTCTTATTGTTCAATACTTGTTCGGAGGAGCTTTCACACAATTTGAGAATTCTACAGAGAGAAGGGGCATTTTGTCTCGGCCGTATCGCCTGTTTTGGTCTTCTAAATATTTGATACCTTTTCAGACAGTTATGTCAACACCAGGCTCACGCTGTAAACCACCAGCTAACAAAATAGTAGAACCCCTGACTTTCACAACAGGCAAAATGGAAATTCGCGGGAAAGTAGTACTTTCCCAATGATATTTTTTTCCAGTGAGCCTCTACGAGCATGTTCTCGATAGACAATTACATGTGTATAATAAACCAAAAAGAAAAAAAAAGAAAAAAGCATGTTTTTCTGATGCACTTGTCACTCTCAGCACGACGTTTCTTTTCTCTATCCGAACATTCACAAGTTTTAACCTTTTTCAGTCCTGGCTTTGCTTTGCTTT